AAAGTTTTGTCTGCTGAGTTTTAAGTGCCATTTGCGTTTCTTCGCTACGGGCTTGCTGTTTTTCTTGTCGTGGCGCTTAAAAGTGTGCTAAATTTAGAAGAAGGCCGCGACACACACACACCCTTATTCGGATGAGAGTGTGTGTGAGGGTGAAATGAGCTAGAAATTAGTTTATGGTGAAGGTCGTGCAGGGAAACATGCTCTATTTATGGGTGTACCAAAACTACAGAGCATTTCATTTTGATAATGACACTTTAAAATGTTGGAAAATAATTAAAAATTTAAGTTTTTGAAATCCTAGGTCGTTTTGTAACTTGGAATTTTAAGCTTTTGTCAAAACACAAACCTTTTATGTGCAAAAATAAGTTAAGCATCAGATAATCAAAAAAATGTATATTATTGTATTTCAGTGATAGGAGAATAATACATAATTTTCGGTTTCCACATTTTAATAAGAGCTAAAGAAAGGGTACATGATTAATAGGATGAAAGACAATAAGTGCTTTCGGATTTCCCCCAACGTCCAATGTTTGTAAACAATTATAATAGGCTCGAAGTGAAATTTTAAGCTTTTCATTTCTGTCACATGCGTGGCAAGGATGGGCAACATTTGTAAAGGGGGTTGAACCGACGGGGATTGGGACTGAGATAAAGGCGAGCACACACAGGAAAGCACACGCAGATGCAAATTGACATGTGGCTGACGCATTTGTTTACCCAAGCTGAATATGAAATGTTTGTGGGAGCTGTGACAGCGGTTGGGGTTTTTTTCGGGCTGAGGGGGGACTTGGGTTGAGCTTTGGGCTTTCGGAAAAACAGACAATTCTAATTTCGAAGCTCCTCGATCTAAGCCATCTGCTTTCGAATGCGAATGCCTTCTGCTGCTTTGGCTGCCATCGATAAATAATGCTTTTTGTAGCATGCTTTCAGGCGCTTAAGATTGCGTGTGATTACGTATACGCACACAGACATTTGCGTGTGCTTGTGGTTGTCATAAATCAACATTTACATCGTGTTTGTGTTTTTTGTGCAGCTGACAGACCGGAAAAGGTAGCAAACTTTCAAAGGTAAATGATTGCTTGAATGGTTTCAGACGGAAAAGGGAGGAATACCAAATGTTGTTTCGGCATTTAATTATAGATTGTGCGCGTGTCTCTCGTTCCATTAAAAACTAAATTGATGTGGGTGAGCTAGACCCCTAAATGAAATTTTACTCTGTGGAGTGAATACGACAAATTACTTCATTCATCGAAATCATCAGCATAAATTAAACGTTGATTTAATTTCGGTTTAATGTCAATCACAATGAGTAGAAAAAGAATAGCAAATTGAATGTTGTATTTTACTGTCAATTGAGCTTAATTTCCCATCTTTGTCCATTACAATTATTTTTTTATGTTTATGAATTTATTGACATACAACAATTTTAATTAATTTGGAAACTATATTTTCTTTTTGAAATGTATTTAATCAAATAACATTTTTTAAATTAAACAAAGTAGTTAAGCGCTTCTTCACCCCTTTTAAATTATGTCATTGCTGTTCTCTGAATTATTTATCCTTGCTAATGCATACATCCGTTGAATAGAATTATCGTTTAATTTCCATCATCATCTTTCGAAGTCTGCGACCAACTTCCTGATTCCCTTTGTTCTGATTTCATCATTGCAGAACATTAATTCTTCTAACCCTAAAAGCAAAATGTTGTCAGGGCTTCTGTTCCTTGTCTGATAATGTTGGGAAGTGCGTCCAAATGGCTTTTCATTTGAAGCTCTTACAATTATCAAGTCCAGTGGCGGAATGGGGAATGGAGTATGGAGTCCTTTTAATTGGCACATGAAAGCCCATGGCCAAGTGGGCTTGTGGCTCGTTGAGGGGGAACCAGTCTTGAAGGGGGACGACTACGGTCTGCTGAATTAGTTTTCGATGTTTTCCACGCTGAATGGCAGTTTGAGAGGCACTCAGCCTGTTTGCCTACGCTTTTCCATAAAGCTTACACATGATTTTCCCTTGATGTTCGGCACAGGCACTCAAATTAAATGCAGATGACGAATAAAAGTTTTTTATGTCCCTGTGGCATATCGTCTACTTATACTCACATACCCATTACCTTGTGTTATGAGAAAAGTTGGCCAAAAACAGGGGAAACTCATCACAGATGCTAATGATGTCACGCACTGGTGGGCCGAAAGAGCCCGAAAGCAAAAGGAAATTCTTAAGTATTTCTTAGCTTAGATAGTCAACTTAAGTCAGAGAAGGGCCGACGATCAATAAATTTTAATTGCGGAAAATTGTAAGTAAAAAAGTTCTCAATACATATTTAGTCCTCTTCGGTTTTACTTCGAAAACCAGACATCTTAGGGTCTTAAGCCATTGTTTTTTGGCCTTTTCAATCCGCTCTGATGGTCTCATTAAAAATGCATGTTCAGCAACACGCTTACTAAAGGGGTTTAATGGTAAGAGCCCGGCTGGACTCCACAACCTTGGGGTCAGGGGAAGCTGCTTTTTTGCTCGGTTTTTTTCCAAATTTACTTTTCGGTTGCCAAAGATCCAACGTCATCATAACAACTTTGTTTACTGCGCTTCGACCTGGCCTTGAACGCCGAGCCGATTCTCGAACCCCTGGAAACCCTTGGCCTTTGTTTACCCTTAAAAAGAGAGCAGAGAAAACAGCATAAAACCAAAAAGAATATTTCCTAAGCTCTGTGGATTTTCATTTTTACGTTGCTGGCTATATGTGTGTGTGTGAGTTTTCCCGGTTGCACAGGCTGAAACCGCAAAGTCATAAGCCCATTAGCCAGTTCGAATAGAGACGAAAAACGTGAAGGGATCCGGGTAGCGGGGCAGTGGGGCAGCGGGGGGCATTGTTTTAGGCAGTCCTTCGTGGAATGGGGATGGGATATATAGTAGCCCCAACCGCCGGCATGACATTGCCTTTTGCTCTGTTGATGCGGAAAATGAGCAAGGAAATAGAGAAAATCCAACACACACACACGCACAGGCGGAGGCATGAGGATAACGACACCGGGCTAACAAGGACATCGCTGCCGACGACATGGTCTTGTTAAGTTAAATTATGCATGCATGCCACGCCCATTATTACACGAAGGGCGTAGACCGCCCCCGCACACCTTGGCAGTTGATAATTGAGACCCAACCAGGAGCAATCGGTGAGGAAAAGGTTTGGTCGTAGCAAACAGAACTATTGTACATGACAGACACCCAAACACTTGCTGATAATTTGCAATTGCCGGCGCCACATGCAATGCAAATCATTAAATTTATTCGAACACACACACACACAGAACGTCAAAGCAACCACACGATGCTTAAAGCAATTTTGCGGTCAACTGAAAGGGCACTCAACACCCAAATAAATAAATTATAATTCGGACAAGTGGAAAGGGAAACTTTAGGCCAAAGAACAGCTGAAACATTTGGTCAAAAAGCCAAAAGAAAACATTTGTTCTATAAATAAAGCCACAAAGTGCAGCCGCTTTTCGGAATTTGCAATTGGTTTGCCGGAAAGCAGCAGAAAGCAGCCAAGACGAATGGGCAATCGAAATATTTATTTACTGGTTTTTGGGATGGGAAAGTGCTCAAGCTTTTCTTATTCTCTGCAAACTATGCATGTTTTTTCCAGGAAAACTTATCAGTCAATCGAAATTAAATAGTTGTCTTTGAGTAGATGCAAATAATAACTTTAATATTTGCTGATAAATAAAAAATTTTAATAATTTGACATTTAATCAATATGTAATCTATTTTAAACATCAATAACATGAATGGAAAATAATACGAATGAATTAAAACACATTTTAAGTTCTACCACACTCTTTTAAATGATTTCTCCGACATTCACTAAGACAAAGTTTTCTTGAGAAAGTAAATACTACTTGTGCCCTTTTAATTCAACAACTTTCGTGAAGTCTTATTAACAGGAAGGCAAGATTTTCTATTTGACAGACTCAGGAATAAAGTTTAAAGTAAGAGACAGGAAATTACCAACCTAGCAAATTGAAATGCAAAACTCATTCCCAGACGACTGTCCCTCAAACTGTATATTTCGCAGCTGCCATTAGATGTGCCTTCAAGCTCCTTTCTGCTCCTCGCAAATACTCCCTTTAAATAAAAAAAATTCTGCCAAATTTCGCAAAACAGAAAGAGTGAAAGGGAAAAGGGAATAAAAATAGATAACAGATGAAGGAGAAGCGACAGGCAGTCTGACAGAAGGAATAAAGTAAAGGACAAATGCAAACGGCAGGGCCACCATTTTAATGGCCCCAAAGGATAAGCGTATTACAACGAAAAACAACAATGGCAGCTCGACAGCAACACTCAAAATTTATATGCGAATATTTCGGAGGGGAAAAGGGATCCAGGGGGATTTTGAAATGTTAGTTTCCTTGGCGCGTGCAAACTGTTCAAACATTTTTAATGTCCATCTGTGTGTGGATTAACATAAAACCTGCTGTCCTCTGCCTTTCAGACCCGAATCCAAACCCAATCCCCAAATTTCCAACAAATAAAGTAAGGTATTTACAAGTTTATGTTCGCTTAGCTTTAAGTGCGGATGGCAGCCCCTTTTTTGTATTTATACCTTTAAAATGTCTTGATTTTTAACTAAGGCCAGGAAAAACGAGAGCTTACACATTTTATGAGCTTTAAAGAACAAGATTACCAAATAAAGTTGTTCGAGCTCAGTTAAGTTTTACGGCAAAGGTTTGCACCTTTATAAGCTAAATTTAAGAGAGTGGAATAATACTGTAAAGTGATATAGCTTTATCAAGAGCTATATAAAGTAATGTAAATTAGGCAAGTTTATAAGAGAAAATAATTTTATAAAAACTTTAAGAAATAATATGTTTTAAATATTAAATATGTTTTAATTGAACGCATTTATCAGCGATTAATTTATTTTAAAATATGTTATTCAGATCATAATTCTTTTTAAAATATGTTTTTTTTTAAAATACCTTTTTGTTTTTTGTTTCTTACAGAATGCGCTCGTTCATCGAGGAGAACGAAAAGAACGATCCGTTGATCAATGCGCCGGATAAGAAGAACAATCCGTGGGCCGAAAAGGGCAAATGCGTTATCATGTAATATTATCGTAAACCACAGAAATACCGCCATAACTATGATAACCAGCCAAACAACAATAATGCAACCCATTCCACGACTCATACCACGACAACAAGAACAACAACCACAACAACAGCCACAGCAACCAATCAATATAACTTTGGGGCGCAGACCCAAGGTCAACAATTAGAGACACAAAACCGATGTAGCAGCCAAGTTTCGGGGCGGAACGAATCCCTAGATCTGGTGCCGGTGGAGATGCAGCACTACAACAACAACTACTACTACTATTACAACTACAACTTGAGCTATGAACCGCCGGAGGATCGGTCGATGGGCGGCGGTGGGGTTAAGAGGGGCGGACGTCGCCTGCAGCAACTGGTGCGAAGGACAAGGTACGAGCTGCAGCAATGGCCGCTGCTCATGCAGTTGGTCCTGTTCGTCCTCTGGCTAAATGCCAAATTCTGGCAGCTGGTCAACGAACAGGTTACCTACCGCCGCAGGAGGTGGCATTGAGGTTCGAAAACGGAGACGGAGGCGGAGGACGTCGGGTGTTGCTTCTTGGTATGAGTTCGATCTAGGCTTAAGTTGTGAAAATTATGCCCACACTCTTACAATCTCATCTCAATAAAATTAATCAAAATGCGCTGCGTAGTGGAAGCAGCGAACCACAGCCAAAGCTTCTGAGTGAACTTAGCCTCCCGAAACGAAAGCGGAGAACAGCAAATATAACATCCTGAATACCAAGTGAAGCGAGCACGCACACTAGCAGCTCGCTAATCGGTACTCGCTACTCGTTACTCGTTACTTTATCACGAACTCGATTCATCATCGTGCGCTCCTCATCGTTGTCGATCTTTCGTCGTTCCTCTCTCGTCGTTTCAAGCTCGTCTATTTTACTTCTCTTCTACTCTACTCGCTCGTTCATCCCTCTTCGTTCTTTCTAGCTATCGTTCCTAGTCGTTATTGCATGCCATACATTCTTAGAAATATCGTTTTTATATCGCTATGTATTTCTTTGCACATATCATCATCAACATTACATTCCATCATCCAATCCCACCCGAACCGAAACCAAAACAAAATTAAAACCGAAAACACAGTAGTCGACAACGCTAACTCAATCATATCAGTCATGAACAAAAAAAATGGGCAACTCAATGCCTCGATAAATGTAACCCACCCGTCATCAGTAGAGTCAACAAGAAGCCTTAGAAGCGCCCAGAAATTCCCAAGCGAAACCAATAGATCTACAAACTTTTATAAAAGGTTTCTCCCACAAAGCTTGTCTAAGAAACTAACCCTCAGAATGGAAGACCCATTGAAATAATCAAATCTTTGTTTAGATGAAACTTTTTCTCGATTCACAGAAATGCGATTAAGATCAAGGGCTAACTCTTTAAGTAGATTCGTATTTTGAGTAGCGCTTTTTTATTTGGTAGCCAGGCAAACGCTAACCGTGCAAAAAATTCAATTGTGTTTACATAATTCAACATATGTATAGTATATACGAATATATGGATACTATAATTTTATATACAACATACATACTTGTAGAGTTATATGCTAGGCAAACGAGCTATTTAAAGGCAGACGCTGTAGTTACTCGAAGATGGTAATATTATATTTAGTTATAACAAATATGTTTACGATTAACTAGCGAGATATTATTATATACGCAGACAACATACACAAACACTGAAAATCATAAAAGAGAACAACTTACTATTAAAGAAGACCCCACAATATTTGTATGGATAATAGTTGAACCAGCTTAGTGAAATACTTTAGAGATCCCCAAAAGTCAGCTGAAACTTTATATGTTATATGCGTTACTGCAGAATGGACTTGACAAAGAAAAATCGAAGAAGAGTAAACTATATTATATTATTAACTATTATATACGATATAGAACGGGCGGCCCCCAGTGGCCGCTCCCATAAAAAAAAGGCGCTGTTCAGCTGTTTGAAATATGGTCATACAAATATCTATCAAAGACGATTTTATGGGTTTACGTTAATAAAATGCTAGGTTCAGCTTATCGCAATGATTTCCATTAAAAAGTTACATATATGTTTTCACCATTAGGATGAACAAGAAGATGAAAAGAAGAAGACAACAATACAAACACAAACACAATACATTCCACACGATACATACTTGATATTAGTGAAACGACAAACTGAGGTTACAAAAATATAAAACCAACCATTTATGAACAAAAATATTTCAATTATGTAGCGACTAAAATGAACACATTAAATGATAATATTAAGTTGAGTAACAAAGTAGCAAATTGAGCAGTGAGCGTAAAATTAATTATAAGTAAGTCGCGCAAAACTCTACAGCAACTCGAATTACAACAAACAGAAAAGTAAACTTACAAGTAAGCAGCTAACGAAGCATACCATGCCAATGAAGGCGTAAATTCCGAGAAAGCGAATGGAAGAAAGGAGAAGTGAAAGTCCCCAGTGGATAAGATAAATCAGAATCAGAACACGGAACACACGAAGTAGAAGTAAATCTTGAGGAAATCCATTGGATCTGGGCAAATCAAGCAAAGGAGCCCAAAACTACTGTGGCAACCATAGCAGCAACGAACCTTTTGGGCACCTAACTGATGTGAAAGTGAAACACGTTTGGGAAAACGAGAAGCACAAAGTAGCAAGCCGCTACGTAAAGATCGAACACCAGACATCCCGAAGGCTAAACAAAGTGTCTCCAACCCGAGATGAAAGAAGCTGCATCTCAAAATTGAGCAGATCAAACACACAAAACTAAACTAAGGTATTGGTGGTTACAAAAATAATATAAATCGAAATATTATTATACTCATACGACGTATTGGCATATAGAAGGAAACGAATAACACGATTCAGTGAAGAATAATCAAAAGGCCTGAAGGCTGGCCATGCCATCAGGGCATTGCCAGAGTTCACAGACAAGGGGAACGCCAATCAGTGTGGCCAGACCTCACTTGCATGCTTCGCATCCTTTAAGTGTGTACGTCTGCTTGGAAGATGAAATCAAAGCATAAAGTTCAAGCTAATATAATATATATATGTATATGTATAGTCTTGTACGCAAGAGCAATTAAGTTGTGTGCCTCAAGCTCAGTCCAGACTGACAAAATTTAGCTAGTTCCAGTTAGTTCCCGCGCGGAGTGTACACGTGTTCAAGAGCGCACTAAGCACGCTGAGTAGCCGGGCATGGAGTCTCGGCGAAACGGGTGTGAGGGTGCCACTAAAATTGAACAAGTGTCGCCGTTTAGATAAGGATAAGTTCTTGAGAAGTTTCCTTCGATTTGATAGCATACGATCTTCCGACGGTTTTGACTGCGTATGGGGCACTGCGACAAAGCTCGTTCGATAGGTGTACTCACACCTTGTCAGTATTTAATCGAAAATCGTTAATTAATCGTATTACAAATTAGTCACAAAAAGGCAAACCATAGAAAAAATTAATGTTGAGGGTCATTTGTGAAAGGATAGACGGAATGATGGAAAAGTTAAGCAAAGGATAAATCTAGTCATTTTCTCAGCCAGTTTAAGCATTATCATATGCAATTATATAAATGTTAAAATTTAAAATAACTATTAATATTTACATCTATAAATACCAGAGGAATATTACACCAAAAGTTAATGCAAGTTACATGAATCGACGCGAACTCAATTACAGAATCTAGCAGATAAGCGAACAAAGTTGACAATTGCACAGAGGCGGAAGTACAGTATGTGCCAAAAGCTGCGATAGCCGCGAGCTGCCTTGAGCAGAGCAAAAAAAGCGATGTCAGGCCAAAGTCGAACTAGGTAAATACAAAGAACACGATTGTCTAGGCGGTAAGTTGATGTTACAGTTCATTGCAAGTGTTTAAATTATATATGGTAAACCAGTATATTACCGATTAAAAGAATAACTCAATATTAAAGATACGCTTAATGGCAAATATTAATATGTGTATTCATTAAATGTGTGTACTATTTACCAGTAAAAAAAAAAACTTATTGTTACAACTTAGGGTATTAAGTCACGTAATTACTAAGATATATGGACATATAGATTACGATTCTGAAACTTATATAAAATGATTGATTCTTAAACTTGTCGAATTGCGAACTCAGACAAACAAAATCACGGTGCCGAATTACACCCAAGGCGAAACCAGAAACCAAATCAAACCAAACAAAACAATTATAATTTAGAAAAAAAAAACAAAACCAAAACCAAAGTTAAAAAACTAGTTAGTAAGTGAATTTTAACGCAGCAAAGCAAAAACAAGTACACCAGAAGAAAGCAAACATGAAACTCAAATAGTATGATATAACGAACATGTATTTAGCTGTTAAAAAAACATCTACTAAAAAAAAACAACAGTAAGCAAAAGGCAAAAGAGCAAATTGACGAAAAAACCAAAATGAAAAACAAAGCATAAGTATGATTATCATTAAAGGAACTTCTCTAAATAAAAGTAAACTTTGAAAATCCTTAGCGGAGAAAAACTACCCTCTCTATAAAAAAAAAACAAAAACCAACAAAAATGTCGATTGTGTTTTATTTCCCCCAATTTCCCGTCAACCGATGAAGCTTTCCCGACCGTGCTACGATCCTCCCCCGATTTGTTGATGTTGATGTTGATGATGATTATTGTGCTTTGATGATGACGCTGCCTTGTGCTTTCCCTATTCCTTTGCCATGCTTTGCCTAAGTTTCATTACCGTATTCAGTTGGTATTATTTCGTATATCTGCTTTTTGGCCTGTACATAATTGCGCTTGAGCTTCGTTTTTGAGCAAATTTAAATGTATTTACTCCAGATTAACCTCGAGTACTCAACGTCTCCGCTCTGGCGACCGTCAACAACTTTGGTATAAATCTCATTTCAGCAACCTTGCCTTGACAATGGCACTTGGCGTAAGTATGGAAGGATTTCAGGGAATAAGGAGCAGCTGGCGACAGTTTCTTAAATAGTATCTGTTGTTGCCAACTTTTGCTAGTTTGCCATCTTGCCAGTTTGCAAGCTTGC